ATATGGATGGCAGGGAATTGATTTTTAAGACATTCTCAAAGCAGATGTTAACAGCCAGCAGGCACGGCCCAGCCCTGGATGTTCTCGGAGGCTCACAGGGAGCGAGACAAAATCAATTTCTTATTCTAGTTCCTCACTTCTATGCATTTAAATGGTCCTGTGGCAGCCCTAACACCTATAGTCCCTTTAATAGACGGCATGGGGCTTTGCTGGTGGCGCAGTGGTTAAGAATCCGCCTGACAATGCAGGGGACACAGGTTTGAGCCCTGGTCCAGGAAGATCCCACATGCCGTGGAGCAACTAAGCCCGTGCACCACAACTACTGAGGCTGCACTCCAGAGCCTGCAAACCACAACTACTGAGCCCGCTCGCCACCACTAGAAACTCCATGTGCAGCAACAAAGACACAATGCAGCCAAAAATAACTAACTAAACAAACAAATAAATAAATTTACTTAAAAAAAAAATAGCATGAACTTTCCTTTCGTTTTCTTGGTCTGTATTTTTGTGATTTGTTTTCACAGCACACAGATAGTAAGTACCCTGGAGCATTCCTCTAGAATATGTAAAGATAAGGCAGGAGGAGTAATTGTTCTCCCAAATTAGAGTTGGCAACATGGATAACTTAGGGAGTTAAAGTTTCAAGTACCATGTATTTATTACAGCTCAGAAGATGCTGTTTTATATTCGACCTCCACTTGGTTAAAGGTGGCAATTTGTTCCTCCTCAAATGTTTTCAAGATGGATTTAAAATATTTTGACTTTTACAGTTTATGCAGCTTTTTCCAAAACTTTAAAAGCCAATTCAGGATCAGCGCCCCCTGTTCCAATGCTAAAGGAAGATTAAAATAACTCACACAGATGCCCACACTACCCGAAAATGTGCACTTTGGGAAGTTAGGTGTTAAATACAATTTGAACTTAAGTGCAGAGAGTCTTCTACTAAAAAAACTTTTACAAAAGTCACCATGGTCCCATTTGAAATTACCCAGGTCAGGAGCTGTCCCTCTGGTCAGTGACTCTGTAGGAATAACCACGGGGACTGCTTCCTGATAAAGATCTTGCTTCCTATTTCAGAAGCTCTGAACACCAAAGATAAAAGCTATCTCATTTTCACTTGCTTTTAAGAAACTGAAGATAGGGACTTTCCTGGTGGTCCAGTGGTTGAGAATCCATCTTCCAGTGCCACATGCCACAGGGTAACTAAGCCCGTATGGCGCAACTACTGAGCCCACACTCTCTGGAGCTCATGTGCCACAACTAGAGAGAAGCCTGCGTGCCGCAATGAAGAGCCCACATGCTGCAACGAAAGATCTCGTGTGCTGCAACGAAGACCTGACGCAGCCCCAAATAAATATTTTTAAAAACCTGAAAATAACTTTAAAAAGTATATGGTAGAAAGCTGACCCTATATACTGTGTGTGTGTATATGTGTTTATAGATAGCTATAGCTATAGATATTAAGAAGCTGACCTTTGATTATCATTCAACCTTTTCTGTTGGGATATATGACTGAGGACTCTGAGGGACAGTCCACTGGAGACTGTGGTCTGAAATCCTGCATCTACCCAGAACTGAGAGAAGGAAAAAATATTTTGAAGAAAAATTCCAAAAGGAAAAAAGTGGAAAAATGTGTGTATGAGGCATTCACTGTCACCGTTCCTCCTCCATTGACTGGGCCCCTTGCCAGGTCCCAGACTGTGCTCAGCGCCCAGGATGTGCTGCAGGACAGACACTGCCCAGCCTGCCTGGAGCTCAGTCTACTGGTGAGGGGAGACAGACAATCAAATAAGTGATTGTAATAAGGTGTGGTAAGTCTCCAGGTAGGGCAGAGCTGCTCAGCCTGACTGCACAACAGAATCATGTAAGGGGTCATTAAATCTAAACCTTTGGGGGGTAAAACTCACACTTTGTAGTGGTATAGACTCTGCACAGGGGATGCGATGGGCAGTCAAGGTAGGGGGGGCTACAGGAGCAGGTGTTCTCAACACTTAGAGGGTGTCAGCTACCCACACAATGCTGGACTCCACCCGCGGAATCTCTGATTCATAGGTCTGGGGTGGGGAGAGAGGCCAGGAAACTGCATTTCTAACAAGTGCCCAGGTAATGCTGATGCTGTGGATTTGGGGACCACATGTTGAGAGCTGCTGAGGTAGTAACAGTTATTCTAGCTCAGGGAGCTGAACTGAGTTTCCAAGAGGGAGTGATGTCTAAGGTAAACTGAAGGGCTGAGTGGGGCTCAGGAAGGTGTGTGATGACCCACAAGTGAGTGTTTGGGGTTGACACGAGAAGCTGGGAGGACATGTGTCATGGAGATGGAAAAGCAGAGCAGGGTCTGGAAGCAGATCTGAGAGCTGAACCAGTGTTCGGCATAATTGGCTTCAGCCAGGTCATCGGGTCAGCATAGCCCCATTCCAGACCCAGGGTGTATTTTAAGAGACATGAATAAACAGGGATAGAATGTGGTCAGATTTGTGTTTTGTAAATTTGCTGCGAGTCCATTTCTGGATGTGGGTTGAAGGTGGGCAAAGCTGAAGAAAGTCTAGCTAAGGAGCAGTTTTCCCGTAAAAGAGATGATCGTTTGCACACGGGTGGTGGCAGAGTGGGGAGGGAGAGAAATGGACAGATCCCTGAGGTGTGTGGCACAGACTAAATAAATAGGACTTGGTGACTGACGTAAGGTGGAAGTTGGGGGTGGCGAGGGGTGAAGCCTGGGGTGCATTTGGTTACTGGGGGTTAGCGATGCCATTCCCACAGGGGGTCAGAGTGGGAAGTGGTGGTAGCTTAGGAGTTTGGACACACTGCGTCCAGGTGCCTGAGAGACCTTTAAATGGAGAGGTCTGGGAGGCAGGTAGATGTGTGGTTGGAGATCATTTGTGTGTGGTGTGTGTGGGGGGTTACCAGCATAGAAGTGACACCTGAAGACATAATGGGGGACTAGAGAGGGAGGTAAATTGAAAGAGGCATGGGTCACGGGTTTCAGGGCTGAGGTTGTAACAGTCACGTCCACTGTGGGATAAATGATTGCTATTCACTCACATGTGTCAGAAGTGGGATTGAGTAAACGAGTTAACAGAGAGGTTCTGAGCTGCCTGCCTATGGATGACATGAGATTGCATCCTCCTGTTCTGTCTGGGAGAGGTGCCATCATCTTGTTTCCCTCCCCTGTAGCTGGGGGACAGCAGCGGGAGCCCTGCAGCCTGGGGCAGCCAGGCCCAGGCAGGGTGGCCACCGGGAGAGGACTAGGCTACGCTGGAACGCTAAATCAGACATTGGGACATATCCAGCCCGGCTTCAGGTCTGCACTGTAAGGAAACACTGCAGTCCTAAGGTCGTAGGCTGGGTGTAGTGACGTGGGGAAGGTGATGGGGTGCCTCTTTGTCTTCAGGTATACACACGATCAGCTGCAGTGTTTGTGGCATACTTTCTGTTACCTGGCTTGAGCCAGTTCCTGTAGCCGTAGGCGATATGGGCTTAAAATAAATAAAAAGTTCCTACCCTGAAGGAACTTAGATAGCAGGGATGTGATAGACATTTTAAAATCCAGCATCTCGGGAACAACACATAATGTAGTGGTAAACAACGTAGTTTGGTATAAACTATATAAATGAGTTAGTATTAACACAGAAATACCCGCCACCTGTTTTTTTAGCACTTTCATTCCCATTCAGAAGAGGACACTATCTCTGGGGAACCCCTGCCACACACATGCTCCAGCTACATAAAACACATCCCGGGGGGTCTGGGGTCCCGGTCCTTTTAAGCCCAGCCCTGTTCTGCCCAGAAGCAGCACCCAAGGAGCACGAGAAGGGGGGCCCTCCCCCCTGCTTTTGTGAATCCCAACAAAGAGGCACAAGAAAGAAACCTGTCCTTTAAAGAATTCGTTTCCTCCTTCCCTCTTTCCCTCACTGCCTCTCACCACCTTCTTTTCTTGAGGGAGACACAAACTTCGTGTTATCATCGGAACAGCTCCTTCCAAATTCACTGCTGGTTTTCTATATAATATATATATTTCCCCCCCAAGGGGGAGGCTAGGGGAATATTCCTCACTGTTTCACCTGCTATGATTTAGGCTACAGGCTAAAAGCCCGCAGAACCTGCTGGGAAACAGAACTGGGTACGGAGGTGAAGATAAACCATTTTTGCTCCTGTTTTGAAGGACCTGTCCATTGAAAATGTTACAACACGCCTCAGTGGTTTTAAGACATCTCGCTTGATACCATCCTTCACTATCAGACTTAGCACGGCAAATATTTCAAACTGCAGTGTTAATCTACTCTATCAAATTATAGCATGCCAATTAATAAGCTGTAACACATCTCTGCTGCCATCTTATTTGTTTGTTACAAGAAGCCTGACTGGGGTGAATTAAATACAATGGAAGACCTTCTATTTTTACCGCTGTTTGCCTTTTCCCATCAGGCAGAACCTGATACTTACCAGCTCCTTGAAAAGCCTAAAGTGGTGCATGGCCTCTGTATATTTCTCCCCCACTAAGATTTACTTGATAAATCTTATTTCTCAGCTTGGGAACCCTGTATGCTCAGTGCTTTATAGTCCGAGCGGTCATCAATAACATAACTGGAGGGCTTCCCGGGTGGCGCAGTGGTTGAGAGTCTGCCTGCCGATGCAGGGGACACGGGTTCGAGCCCTGGTCTGGGAGGATCCCACATGCCGCGGAGCAACTAGGCCCGTGAGCCACAACTACTGAGCCTGCGCGTCTGGAGCCTGTGCTCCGCAACGAGAGAGGCTGTGAGACGCCTGCGCACCACGATGAAGAGTGGCCCCCACTTGCCACAACTAGAGAAAGCCCTCGCACAGAAACGAAGACCCAACACAGCCAAAAAAATAAACAAACAAATGTGGGATTTAAAAAAATAAATAAATAAAATAACTGGAGCAGACTCTGTCGCCAGTACTGGGTGTTGCTCGTGCACCCAACATGCCTGTCTCGGGGGTCGTCCCAGGATCCAAGAGGGAA